AACCCTCTAGGCACGCGCACCGAGCCCGCGCTCGGCCGGACGCGCGCGTTCCGCCCCAAGCCCCTCGCGCGAAAGTGCGCCTCACCGAGCGCGGCAGCTTGGCGGGCCCGGGCCCGAAGTTGACCACTTGTTTAGGGGCGTCCATGGCGCGGCGGGGCGGGCGACTAGCAGGCGAAAGCGCAGCACACGGACTGCCCGCGTCTCCCCGCGGCGGCGCGCATCTGGCGCGGCCAGGGCCTCTTCCCGCGCCTAGCCCGCGCCTCATTGGCCCGCCGGCACAGGCCCTGCGCTGATTGGCTCTCGCTACGGGCTCGCGTACCCATTGGCCAGGCTCAAGAATGGGCTTTCAGGATTCCGACCCCTCCTTGCGATCCGTGCAAGGCGCGCGGGGGATTGCACCATCCTGCGCCGGGCTGCGCGCCAGGGCCCGCATTGCCGACGGCGGCGGCGGCGGCGGGAGGCTGCTCCTGCTAACCTGCGCCTGCACGCCTGAACCCTCATTCAGCCGGATCCAGTCCTCCGACCACCACCCCAGCTCCTCTCTTGGGGCCAAACGGGGAGATGACGGGCAAATCAGCGGCTCCATAGCTAACCACCTCCGCTAAACAGAGTTCCACTGATGGTGCTCCAGAACCAGCAGTCATTAATTGATTCACCAGACTTCTCCAAGCATCCTCACAGGCATCGAATACTCCAGAGCAGGACATGCAGGGCAAACGGTGGCCGAGCGCGTTCCCGTCTCCCACGCAGACACTGCCTATTAAACAGACACAGCTGCCGGCCTCCCCTCCCCAGGCCTGGCCACCACCAGTCCTGCCGTCTTCTCTGGAGTTTGACGACGACGCTAGGGCTTCCTGTGCGTGGGACCATAATGAGTCCTTCTGTGGCTGACTTGGCTGATTTTACTTAGCATAGTATCTTCAGGGATTATCTGTCTCGCGTCATTTTTAGTTGATAACACCAGAGGCATAGTGTGTGTGTATCTACCACAAACCATGCACACACAAAATCCCAAAACATGTCATTGAGAGAAGAGCTATGTATGCATTAAAGGGCAGAATTACATAGAGAACTGGAAAAAGCAACAGAGCTTGTATTTTTAACATGCGCGAGCGCATGTGTGTGTATGTGTGTGTGT